GTGTGTGTGTGTGTGTGTTCGTTTGTCCGGATATTTCAAGTCGCCAACCACGCAAGCTTTGAAGCTGAAATTTTGCCAATGTGTTCTCCAGCCAAGTGCCACCTCAGGACCGCGGTGTCAACTCTCATGCACGTCTGAGCCCCGCGTATGAGCACGTGAAAGTTTTAGCGGAAAAACTGCTAACTCGGGGATGAAAAAAGCTAAAAAGCTGAAACTTTAGGATAATTTCCCCTACCCATGTATGAAAAAAGATTTCAAATTCAGCTGCCCAGGACTGCCCGGGACTTACTTACAGGCACTTGAAAATTATGGCGGGGAAATTCATAACTGGAGAATGAGAAAACCAAGTGAGTTGAAACTTTGAGGTAATGTTTCCTACTTACGCATGACCAAAAGTTCTCAAACTCAGCTCTTTAGGACCGCCCGGGGCTCACGTACAGGCACGTGAAAGTTTTGGGGCGAAAATCACTAATTCGGGAACGAAAAAAGCTAGAAAGCTGAAACTTTAGGGGCATGTTTCCTACTGATGTACGAGCAAAATCAGGTGTTTAAAAGCACCCGGGGTCCACGTACGGCACATGTGAAAGTTTTGGCGCGGAAATTACTAACACGGGAACGAGAAAAGCTAGAAAGCTGAAAGTTTAGAGTAATGCCCCCTACTCCTGCACGAGCAAAATCAGGTGTTTAGAAGTGCCCGGGACCATGTACGAGCGCGTGGAAGTTTTGGCGCGATACTAACCCACAAACAAGGAAAGCTAGAAAGCTGAAACTTTCGGATAATGTTTCCTACCCATGTACAACCAAAATCGGGTGTTTAGAAGTACCCGGGGCTCAGATACGGGTGTCACGAAGAATCGCGATTGATCATCGCGAATCTTCTAAGCAGTTTTCGTCTTGTCGATACCAGCACCAGCTAGGGAAGGATGACCTGGAGTGGACTGGAGGGAGGTCACCAGGTCACGAGGGCATAAGGATGGAGTGAGAGCTGGGTTAGGAGCAGATTGGAGAGAGGACGGCGCGTGCGGAGGTGCGCTGAACGGCAAAGGTGGAGTAACAGAACGGAGCGTGCGACGGTGCGCTAAAGGGAAGAGTGGAGTAGGACGGCGCGTGCAGTGGTGCGAGGGAAAAGAAAAAAATAGGGATTTCGGGTCCGTGGTGGTTTGAATGGTTTGGTTCGCGAATTTTTTGGTGATTTCAGTAGAAGAATTGTTTCGGAGCATTTGCTTTTGTGATTTTATTTGTGTGCTCCCGATTCGCTTGAAGAAAATTGTTGTTGGACGTGTTGTTGTGAGAAAAAAAAAGTTAGATTACTGAACCGCGTGGCAGCACTGGTTGGTAATTCCAGAACTTTTTTTTTTCTGTCCGAGATCAGGAATTTTGCAACAACGGGCACGTGGAAATTTTGGCGCGAAAATCACTAGTCCGAAAGCGAAAAAAGCTAGAAAGCTGAAACTTTAGGGGAGTGTTCCCTACTCGAATATGACCAAAGGATTTCAGTTCTTTAAAATCGTCTAGTACTCACATAGGGGCACGTGAAAATTTTGATGGGGAAACTGCTAGCTCGGGAACGGGAAAAGCTGAAGGCTTTAATTTAGGGGAATGCTCCCTACTTACGACGACTAGAAGATATTAACTCTTCTGGTGCGGCCTTTTTTGCGGACCAACAACTTTCCATTTGTCGGGTCACTGAAGTCGATATCTACAATTGACATACCACATTGTTGCACTACTAACTTTCCGAACTTCGAGGGCCAGTATGTCATAGGGCTAGTTACTGCCATCCCTTGCGATTTTGCTACGGTACGAAAAAAGTGCAAAAACGCATAATCGTACCGGCCCTCCTGGTGCGTTCCGGCCCTCCTGGTGCGTTCCGGCCTAGGTTTAAATTTAACCTACCTAGCTGTTCACTGAGAAGTTTCATCGCCAAAACTTTTAAGTGCCCATATGTAAGAACCACTCACATCTCAAGGCTGAATTTCAAATACTTAGTTTTTACTTGGACAGGAAACATTCTTCTAAAATTTCAACTTTTTAGCTTTCCTGGTTCCCGAGTTAGCTTTCATATTTTCTCGCTAAAACTTTCATGCGCCCTGGCGTGAGTACCACGCATAGCTTGGGGCTGTGTTTCAAATCTGTGGCTAGGACAAGCACAGGGAATATCCCTACAAAGTTTTAGCTCTTTATCTTATGTGGTTCTCGAGATCGCTTTTCCGCCAAAAAATTTGCATATGTTTTAAAGCATCCGTACGCGGCACTCAGGCGTCCGCTAGGGATGAAATTAAAACGGGAGGGTTGCGCATATATGGGCGCATACTCCCAAAGTTTTACCCTCCTAATTTTTCTGGTTCTCGAGTTGGAAGTGGGTGACAAAAGTGCGAGCACACAGACACACACGCGTACACAACCTCTTCCTAATATGCGTTTTTACAATTTGCATATATGCAAAGCGCATAAAAACGCATATTGTGACGACCCCGGTGTGGGTGCATATGTCTGTATCTGTCCGGGTATTACAATTCGGCTACTAAGCAAGCTCCGGCGCCAAAATTTTGCCAGTGGGTTTCTTGGCCAAGTGCCACCGCAGGTTAGCGGCATCAACTCTCGCGCATGTTCAGGCCCCGCGTACGAGAAGGTGAGTTTTGATGGGGTAATCGCCAACTCGGGAGCCAGAAAAACTAGAAAGCTGATATTTCGCAGTTATGTTCCTTGTCTGCATGGAACCTAAAGATTTAAAACCCAAAACCTAGGTATGTGTGGTTGTCACATACCGCCTTGTGAAAGTTTTTCGCTGGAAAATCGCCAACTTGGGAAGCAGAAGAGCTGGGAGGCTGAAATTTTAAGGGAATGTTCCGGCCTAAGTAAAACTTAAAGATTTCAAATTCAGCCGCGAGGTGTTTTTTCTCACATACAGCCCGCGAAAATTTTTGGCAAAAAAACCGCTAACTTGGGGACCGAAAAAGATGGAATACTGAAATTTTGAAGGGCTGTCCCTTCGCCAAGTACCATGTAGTTGTATAATTAACTTCCTAAATTTTGAGGACCAGTATGCCATACATTTTTGCAACTGGGACTTGAAGCGATCATACAGCAGCATCAAATACTGCAAAACGCATGATCGCATGCGCCCACTCGCTGCGTGTCGCCAATGACTTCTACTTTAACTGACTGATGAGTACCTCTTCCAGTTACTTGCTTTAACTAACTGGGGCAACATTTGCGATACTAAATTATGAATCAGCAAATAACAGCCGATTAGCTAATTAATGACTATGCAAAAAAACTGCAGCCGTAAATGAGCTAGTGTTACAGGCAAAATCGTACTTTTGATCAGGACGTGGGCAGAGGAACTCATGTTTTGCGCATTCTGCACTGCAACTCCCATCTTCTCGCATTTTGAATCCGTCGGCGCATAAGCACTTGCTCCCGGAACCGTCGTGTTTCGGTACGCACAGATGTTCACATTTGGTTGCTTCGCATACATTCGGTCCTACATATATTCACAAGCTTCGTGGTAAAAGAATCGTTTTACAGTGAGTTAAAACTCATGCTAAAGGTTTTAAAGGAGCAGTTATTCCGAGCAAAGCTATCTTTGTTAAAATGATCACAATCAAATTAGTGCATGCCTTTACTTTTTTGAAGCTACTGGCCTGTAGTTACTGCAGGCACGTTATCGGTAGAGCATCCAAGCATCAGCAAGCGTCCTGGCCTGCATGGGTTGTTTAGGAAACGAGCTAAATAGTGCTAGTGATTCTCGAGCGTCTTGGACCTGTCGGTACCAATTTAAGCTGTTTTGGCAGATTAATCAAATGCGTTCATTGCGTCTTTCTTTAGCTATGCAACTGATCACTTTTCAGTTTCTTTGACCGTGCTGCATCGGGTGGTTTGTCTGCTGGCCATCCTTCCTATCAAAAAATTGTGAAGAAGCTGGAAGCAAGCAGAAGGCTATTAGAGATTATCACCCGAGCTTTTTAACAAATGCGCAAAGGATTGCGAAACAAACTCGAAGCAGCAAAAAAAAATTAAAAAGAATAGCCTAAACACGCTCTGAAGCATATATGCATAGATAAACTTGCGAAAACACAAACCAGGCTTTTGCACGGCGCT